TCCAAAGAAGAGTCGAGCCTCTACAGAACATGTGTTGGCATTTTGCTGTACATGTCAACAGAAAGGCCAGACATCCAATGTGCAGTTCGACGGTTGGCTTCAAAGGTCACAGGACCTGACACCCTGGACCAGAAGGAGTTGAAGCAGTTGGTGCTCTACTTGAAGCACACGGCTGACTACGTCCAGGAGATGAAGCAGAGCTTCGCGATGGCTTCGGCTATGAGAGAAAGGAATGATGATGTGAAGATGGCTGCAACACAACATCCGAGCCTACTTGAAGTGTTCACGGACAGCGACTGGGCATCGGACAGGACTACAAGGAGATCTATGTCATGCAGTCACATGTACCTCAACGGCATTTTCTTTTGGAGTGCAAGCAGGAGCCAGAAAAGCATAGCTTTGTCAAGTTGTGAAGCTGAGTTCATTTCAGCAGTCAGCGGCATGGCAGATGGAATCTACATCAAGCGAATGTTGGAGGCCGTGCTGAATATGAAGGTGGTCTTAGAGTTGAGGATTGACAGTTCCTCTGCTCGAGCGCTACTCCAACGACAAGGAGTTCAGAGAACCCGACACATAAGCACTGGACTTTTGTGGGTGCAGCAGAAAGTTGAAGAACGAGAAGCTGCAATTCGACCTGCGCCGGGAAAAGAGAACAGCAGCGATTTGGGAACGAAGAGTCACAGCAGCAAGAGATTGAGATTCTTGCTAGGCCTCATTGGCTACTTGGAGTTCGCTGGTGGACCACGAGTTGGAGCCCAAGAAGAAGAAATTCGACATGTCAAAGGACTCAGACCTGAAAGAGTGAAACGGCTGACATGTTTGCTTTTGGCGGCTTTGAGTCAGCAGGGCAACGGAATGGAAGTCGAAGAGACGACCAGTAGTGACAGCAACCGTGAAATTTTCCTGATGGTTTTCACGGCAAATGCAGTTTTGTTTGTCGCCATGGGATTGGCGATGAGTGTGCAAGGTTGCGACTTAGCGCTGATGGTGCTTCATTCGGCTTCGATTGGAGCATGGTCTCTCCTGACCGAGATGGGCTACCAGATCTTGCAGACAGGCATGATGATGGTGGCATTCAATGTGGTGGTCTTCATCCTGTTCTACCTCAGGGACTACTTCAACCTACGACCTGTTCAAGGTGGAGAATTTCAACGAGAAACTTCACCCCCTCAAGATCCTCACCGAGAAGGAGAACAACGAAAGGTCAAGCAGACAAGGTTCAACCTCTTTGGAGAACCAGCCGGATATGATCCGGAAGCTCGCGGAAGTGAACGTGATGGAGAACTATGGAACGAACCTGAAGGTGGAGATGTCAACCACCTACTACTTGAAGGAGAAGAAGAAGGTGATGGACAAGAAGAAGAAGAAGAAGAAGAAGAGTTACCACAACTCGAGAATCTCACGGAGACAGCCTACACCTCTGGTGGAGAACCCACTGAAGATGAGTTCACAGAGGACGCCATGGACACCGAGGACGCCGTGGACGTGGACGATGATGATGTCATCGCAACAGTTGAAGATTGGGACCCCATTGGTCAAGAAATGGCAACGTACAGAGTTCTTCGACATCGAGCTCAAGCATTTCCTGGAGAAGAGTACTTCCTGGACATTGATGGACGTCTTGAACGCCATGGAGGACTTGGAAGCTTGGGTGGAGAAGAATCAGAAGAACAACCTTCTACAGCAGATGACCAACCTGCTGAAGAACCTGAAGGCAGTGGATCTGAACAAGTTCTACGTGTGGCAGGAGAACTTGGTGACGAAGTGACAGACGCAGTTCGAGAACTTCGAAGGCACGCAGGCCTACTTCAAGAGCTGGGTGAACACCCAGAGTGCTACACGGAGTACAACATGCCTGGCATTGTGTTTTGGGTGAATCCAGACACTAGTGAGATCCAGATGCACCGACTCCTCGACCTCACGATCGATACGCCTGAAGATGGCGAGGAGTACTTCATCGAGAACCCCAACTGGATGAGAGATGGAGGAAAATGGTTGATCAGGCGACTTCACTATGAGCCTGAGCCAGAAGAGGAGATCCCAGAATTCGCAAGAGGCTATGGCTGGGCCTTGGGAACAAGAGAGTGGATGGACCACGTGAGAGAAAGGAGAGCAGTGGCAGAACGAGAAGCTTTGCGGCAGCAGATGAACCAAGCAGAAGCTGCTGGGCCGCGAAGAAGGCGCTGAGGAGCAATCAATGCTGAGATGCAATCAGTGCAAGTGTTCAAGAACGAGACACAGCACTGAGTGAAGGAAGTTGGACATGGCTACCCACGCCAAGTCCAAAGGAGGAGTGTTGCACAGTGAAACCAAGTGCATCCCAGCAAACACACTCCATGTCAAACATGTTGAGTTAGAAACCTAACCTGCGAACCGCAGGCCGTCAACCGCTCAAGCGAAAAGTGAGCGAAGTGTTAGATATTATATATATATATATTATATATACACATACTTGAATGTGACATGTTTCCGGCATTGCTCCTTTGAGGCACCGCTCAGATGCACAAGTTCTGAAGCTGCGGGCGCAGGAAGACATAGTTTCCATCCTCAAGACCTACTATAGCTTGGAGCCAAGTCAGTTGGCTTCATATCATATACTCCATTGATTAAAAATGAAGAAATCTATTTTTAAAGAAAGGAAACAAGGACGCTGTTAGGTGAAGGCCATGGCAAGTAGGTTGGAGGCCATCGCTACTAGTAACAAAAAGCTACTAGGGGTCTATCAAGAAAGGTCTAGAGTCTAGAGTTCTGCTCCAGCTCTTGCCCCGCTCTTCTTTGCTGCTAATTACTACTGCTTACTCAAGCTAGTTTGCTAGTGACCTAGGAATCAGGAATCAAATCAACAATGCGAGGGGTTTCTTCAAGGAATCTCCCCCTGCCTAGCTAGCAGCTGCCAGACCTATCCTACTCCTACTGACCCTTTACTACTGGCTCACCTGTGAGGTACGCCGACGAGGAGTGTGCCCATACGACTCTTCGATGCCCATCCTGCTTTCAAGGCGAAGACACCAACGACTAAAAAGTGACCAAACTCAAACTCCGGAAGATAGCATACGAGCGATGGCCCCCAGCCTAAGAGCGATGGTCGCCATAAGATGGTTAAAAGAATGTACTGTACTGATATGATCTAATATGTACTGTTATGTACTACAGTTTGTGGAGAAGTGGTAGACGCACGTTTGGTTGGACAGCTCATGGCAGAACAAAGGCACAGCACAGCTTGTGCGTTGCACGGTCCGATCAGCCAAAGCTTCCTGTGTGAATACATGACCCCCTGAGATTCTGTACAGAAATGAAAACCTACACAATATGAAGACAGCCCTTGCGAGCAGAGGCAGGCTAATTCAATTTGCGCATAACTTGTTGGCGCTTTTTCATTGTATTTGAGTGTGGCATGGTTCAAAGAAATGTTCGTTCAAGTTAGAGTGTCCATTTCACAAACTTGTTAGACACTTCGCACACTGGCCGTCACACCGTACGAGGCAGCTTTGGTGGAAGAGGTTGAGATTCAGATCCTCTCTGTTTGGGTGGCCCAGGATTTTGTCCTTGGTGTACATGTTTTTGTTTTATACTATTATATACGGTATTTACTATTATTTATAGACGTACAAAGCTCAGGCGAGACTCAAGACTCGGCACTCCTTCAGAATCGGTGATCAGCAACCCTGAGCCTGACTCGCCAGGGGAGAACGCTTTGCTAGTCAGACAGTTCACTTTTTGAGGTTGCTTGACGTGTCTCTTCTCCACGCCAAAACGTCTTGAAGAAACGCTTGAGTCATTTTGAATACCTGATGATGGTTAGTCCTTACATTACAGGATTGCGCGAGGTCGTTGTTCACAGCGAATGGTTCAAGGTAGACAAACCTATGCAAACGTTCGTTCTTTGTCGGGCAGATCCATGTTGAATACGACGATTCCTCTTCCTATCCTCACGAGGCTGGATGTGTGATTTGCAAGGAGTTCGAGCTGCAGGACATTGGAAGCAGTTTCACTATCCCAGTTCCCGGGCTTCCTTTTGGTACAACCCAGCAGTGGAGCTTTTGTTCTGGTCTACAAATACTACTTACAGCAAATTGGCCTTGGTATGCCTTGGGTGTTGGTTAGCTTCAGACTCTAAACTTTCGGAATTTTAGACTGCTTAAGCGCAGTTGTATCCAACACTCCGCCTTTGGCCGATATTGCATCAAATTTTATCCATACTTATCCCCTGTTCATTTGTCCGCAAGATGGCCTTGGGGTCAAACTTTGTTCGGTCTCATTTTGAAGGAAGCACTGTTGCTATTAGGTTGGAGGCCATATCTAGGAAACACTGTTGGTGGCTCTTCAGGACTGGGCCCTCTGTGTTTGGCGCGGAGAAGCTGATGCATCTTGGTTGGGAAGATGAGTTTCTGTGAAGTCACCTCTTGACGCTTTGAGGTCTGGAATGAAGTGTTTTGACCCCAGAAGGGAAATGTTGCACGGGTAAGACCCTACTGTACTCTCCAACAGCTGAGTACAAATTGGGTGGAACGTACGTATCCAGACCAAAGCTGGTCGAGAGATGGTGAGGGTGACAGACAAGTGTTTCAAAGGATGGGACAACACATGATTGCCCACCTCATTGTTTGGATGGAAGTATATTTAATCAGGGAGGGTAAAGGAAGTGGTAAGTGTTTCACGTCTTTGCATTCAAGGTGGCATTCTTTCGTATCAAGCATGTTGAGGGAGGGTACCTGGTAGAGGAAGCGTATTTCTTTTCTTGTCACCTTCTCCAGCTAGGAGTTCGTACAGCAACAATCCATGGGGGTCAAACTTTATGGCAGAAGACACCTTTGAATACTTTCGCCAATCTGGTTCACTGAAGAGAAAGTTAAAGGCCTCACTCTAGAATATATTCCAAATGAGTGAATCGTGAAGTTCAAGACTGCCTTCATGGAATCGTTTGGCAGCTTGAACATCAAGCCTCCGGCAGGAGGGCTGCGGCTGCAGCACCCGAGGATAGGTGACCAAAATGATTCAAAATAAAAGCCTGACATTCAAATTGCGCGAGACGATTTCAGGGTGTAAGCTATCTTTGGAGTGTAACCCTGCCATTTTGAATGTGGAGTTGCTAGATGTTGCCGATGAAAGTTTTGAGCCCCACATTGAAAGGTTTTTCTGGCATGATCACCCGTGCTCATACGTGTATAGATACTGTAGATAGGTTCGATAAAGCGAGTTTCCATGGAGTTGACAAACATGACAATGAAACTCAATAGAACACAGTCTGATTGTATTTGCGGTTCCATCCGACTGCAAGAATGTTGGAAAACGATGCTGAATCTGAACCGAGGTACCACTGAATATTGAGTAGCGGGAATAGACAGACATGCGTCGCTGAAGATTTCAGTACATGGGACTTTGGGGCCTGTCAATGATTTGGCCCACTTGGCATTGCTTTTGCAGGTCCTTGATGGCTCAGGCGAAAGCAGCTTCCTACGTCTTTCCCACGCCAAAGGCCGGCCAGATCCCATGACCAAAAAAGGGATTCCACCGATTCCACTCTTACATAGAGTGAGTTGCTCGGTTTTTGAATCAATGAGATGTCAATGTTTGCCGTTGGGGTCCGCTTCTTTGGTTCTGATATTCCTCTTGCTTTACGTGCTGGGATCATACTTGTGGCAGGCACTCCGGCATGGGCAGCATGGTGGTGTTTGATCGAGCTTCTTGGAACTCAGATCACACCTCACATTAGCCGACATCCAGTCAAGGCGGGTGAAGAAAGGGAGAGAGTCAATGGAGACATATGGAGACCAAGAGAGAGCACACTTTCTTCGGTAAACAAGGTCTTGTTGAATCGAGAACAAATAAGGAACGAGTTCTATATTTAGTCAAGAGGCAACCGGCAACCTGCGTGGGCATCAGCGATGATACTCGTTTGGTGACATCACAATTTCAACTTTTCCTTTTGCAGCATTCTAGGCTGTGGCAGATGTCACCTTTTTTTTGAGAAATGTCATTATTATTATTTATGATGATTTATGCATGTTCCATCATGTTCCTTTCGAGGGAGATTTGCTAGTTGGCTTTGCTTTACTAGCTGTGTGCAGCGGCTAGGCCATCACGGACTGCATCGTTTGGAAACTCTTGCCTGCAAACCTCAGGAGTCGGGGATCGACACAGGGAGGGTATGCTAGATTGGTGCAGTGCTGGCACAGACCATTGCCCTTCTGGATTGTCTCAATGGGACGGATTGGTTTCTTTTCTTGCCCTTCTGACGCTTCCTGTTGTGTTCGACCCTGCATTGTTCTTTTGACCTTGCTTGCATGCCTTGGATGCTGCGCTTGAAACCACCGATCACGATGAAATATTGAAAGCACTTGATCTTTAGCCTAGCGTTGCTTGTTTGCACTTGACCTTACAATAGGCCATGATGCAATTTATCTCACGCTAGCCTCTTGAAAGAAAGATAAAGGACCTTGCCCAGTTGCAGGAGGCTACAGAAGTCCTTTCCAGCTGAATGCCGCATGCTGGAAAAGGCAACGCAGAATCCATAGAAGTGTTTGACGGTAGCTGGGCAGGTGGTCTTCTCCATATTTCCTCCGGGAGGAAAATAGATGTCACCGTGATGGCTGAATTCTGTGGAGTAAGTAGCCTGGTGAAATTCCATTGCACACACACAAACAATTTGTCCTTTGTTCGGTGCCGTTGAAACAATCATACCATATCGTAGCTCCAAAGAGGCTATATTTAAATTCAGCGCCTATTTACTGTATTTGTTCATTTGTGTTGGTTAATGTCCTCCATTCCTTCCATGTGGCAAGGTGGCAATGTACCATGCACAGCTCTTGCAGCCGAGAGCAATGCTGCTGCATGACGCAGCATGGTTGCGATTGAACCAGCTCGATGTGTCTTTCCTGACCCATCCAGAAGTTATTTTCTCAACATAAGAGCGGTGTCATCGTGTCAACCAGTCAGTGACCTTCCAGAGTATTGAAACGAGTGAACGTGGAGGAAATCAAGTTCTTTTCAACGGAGCTCTCAAGTGCTTGCCTCTTGACTTTGACACTTTGCCTGAGCCTCGCCGCTGAGATGCCCTTCTTCCACAACTCTACAGCTTCTTTCCTGGAAGCGCTCCAAACAGGAAGCGGTCGCTCTATCCTGGCCTCCGGTGAGGTCGGGCCGCTGGGTTATCCGACAGGATTTTGTATGACTTGGTGACTGAGTGACTGGCTTTCCCAGTTCTCTTCCGCCTAGGTTCAAGAGGTGTCAAATGATCCAAATGCTGCTTGCTTTGTATTTCATCCAGTGGGCTTAAAGTCAACTTCAAGCAAAGGACAAGAATACGTTAAAGGACTACTACATGCACAGCCAAGCATTGCTATGCACTGCTAATTTCTGCCAGCCAGGTGGTTTACCAGAAGGGCAAGCCCAGCGACACCCGAGATCTTTATTGTGTTGCGCGTGGCGTTGTTCGGGTGATTCAAGCAAATGTGGACAGCAGCCAAGCAGCAACAAGTGTTTGCTGCTTGGGACACAGGAAAGCATCAACTACTTTGCCCGGCTGTATTCAGTTGCGTCCAAATATCAGGAACATTGAAGTATCATTCATTGTTAGTTATTCTGCAATGCTCCAACTGATAGCAAACAAGAATAGTCGCGGGTAGCCATGTGTTGTTGGCAGGGGGTTCAACAGTGAGTGTTGAGTGTTGGTCTTGCCAAGATCTGCCCAGAATTGCCTACACACCACAACAATTTGTATTGATGTGTCAGTGAAACTATACAATAATCTATGTTTTTTGACTCAGAGTGCCTCAACTCGAAGCCCCTGGATCATGCAGAAGGTGAGGCATGCTTTTCCTCGCAGGTGTTGGACAGAGTTTCATGGCCCGATAGGCCAGGTAGACCTCAGCCAAACACGAAGAAGAAACCTCCCCCTAGTATTTCCGAGTAGCGTCCTTGTTACTACTGGCTCTACTGCTACCCAGAGGAAGTCGCCCGCGTTTGTGCGCCCAAGGTCGGCGGTTGGCAGCGGCAGCTGGACGACAAACTAGGCACGGCTAGCCGGAGTTCCCCAGGGATGAAGGTTTGGCCGGGTGAAGCAGAGAATCCTTTCCTCAAGGTACCGGGGTGGTGATGCAAGCTGAGGAACTACAAGCAAGAATCTGTCCGATGGTCGGCTATCATAATGTGGGGCCTGTCAACAGCGCCAGCCCCCCTTCAGGTTCACCAGGTCCATTGTGTGGCTGTCTTGGCAACCAACATTGACGCTACTGGGGGCTCCTGGCCTTACTACTAGGAGCAAGAAGCTACTAGGAGCAAAGGCTTAGGAGTCTACAGACGTTTGAGCATTGTTTCCAACATGAATGGACTGGCACCCGACTCACAGAGTTGGGGGGTTGCTTGGTCACTCGCACAGAACAGATGGAAGTTACTGCTGTTACTGGTAGGACAAAGTTCTAGTGTACTCAAAGTTACCTGGTTCTGCTGTTGAATGTAAGTACTCCAAAGTTAGTTAGGCTGTTGAGGCTGTTGAGGCGGCTGTTGACCTCTGGAGGATGAGGAGGTCTAATGAGATCTAATGTGCACGTGTATACAATATTTGTACACATATACACACAGTGTAATGAATGATATTATTCAATGACACGTTGACTGTTGTAATAACCCCGCGCTCAGCGGTTTAGTATTGTCATGCACCTTAACACTACTATATATAATGCATTACTACAAAGCAACATCGCTACCGGGAACAAGAAGCTCTTAGGGGCTCCTGGCCTTACTACTAGGAACTGAATGGGCTGTTTGGTCCATATGCTGCAGCTGTTTACATGAACCACGACAATGGCAACCTGCAGAGGTGTCCGCAACGATAACAAAACGATAACGAAAACGATAAGGAAATGTAGCAAAAAGCAGCCCTGGTGGGCAAGTACACATTTGACTGTTTTCATTAGACCTTTTGAAGGGCAGAAGTGTGCGATGTGGTAGTCTTGTTTAGCTGTCTATATCTGATCTTTGCTGCTGCCATGTCTTTACCACCAAAGACGGTGTACGCCTTGGTACAGGCAGTGCTACGGGATCCTGAAGTAGGACCATGCAGACCACCAAATGACATGTTTTGATTTGTGATCTTCCACCAAAGATGCTTTTACCTGAGAAAACGATAAAAGTTAAAAAATGATAACATGGTTTCGAGGTATTGCAAAAGACACGGAGTTCTTACAACACCCCACATGATCTCATCATGAATCATGCATACATATAGACACCTTAGTTCTATTGTTGTCTGTCATTAAGCGAGCATTGACACTGTCCTCGAGTTCAGCCAAACTTCCAGGCGCCAAGGAGTTCAAGACGAACTACTTGGGGAAGGCTACTTGACTCAGCACAGCATGAACACACATTTGCACAGCATGAAACGGACTTTGATGTCTCATCGAGTAAGTCTTCTGAAGCTATACATATTTTTTTAAATAGTATTATCAATATCTTTATATCACCCGAGACCTGGCCTGAACTGCTGGCAATGTGCTTGGTCAAAAACCAGGAATTTCAAGATGGGGGCAGCTGAAAGTCATGAAATCAATTTCACAAAAGGTGATGTTCCAGGTCAAATGCAACATTGATCAACATTGCATTTACTTGGTTAAAAAAGAAGGGCTCTATATGTTTAGAGATTGCCTTTGCACCGAGGCGCTGTCTTTGGCGAGAACATTGCCCTGGAGTTGAAGAATACTAGGGCCATGTCGGTGGTTTCAGAAACCATCAGCGATCTGTATCTAATTCCAGGACGAGTGCCTGCCCGCTCAGACATGAACATCTCGAGTTGTTCCTCTCCTATTGGCAGCACCAGGGCGGTGGACCAAATAATCTTGACCAATATGTTTTGAAAACCTTCCAAGGGTTGCATGATGTTGCACGCTTTGGTGGATGACCCGGCTTTCAACTTGCAACAGCGCACCCCGAGCAATTGGCCTTCGAAATGCAGGACGATGCCTTTGCGATGCCTTAGTTCAACACCCCCACGAGATGACACGCTTTTTGAACCTGCTCGAGGAGCGCAGCAGCCTCGTCAGGAAGTGCAAGTCCTGCAAGTCCGCTGTTTTATGTGTTTTTTCTAGTGCGGGTGGACTCAGCGCAGATGTTGATTTTTTGGCAAGGATGACTCCAGTTTTGTTCGCTGGTCATACTGCGCAGCAGGTTGAAATACCAAGAGTTGGCCCATGCTTGCCACAAATATTATTTTTTTTCGGACAGCATGCTCCTTCGATTCCTTTGCTCAGCATGCAGAGACCTTAACAACACCCGACACACCCAATTTTGCTGGGCCTGAAAAGAGATCCCCCGAGGAGCGCGGTTATGGAGTGCGATTTCCAGAGGCCTGAGGGGAGGCCTTGTTGCTTTGGGGTTCCAAAAGCACTATTGGGAATGCTATATAATGTAGGATTCGTTCCAACTGTGGAGCATTCCAACAGGCCCTTCCAAAATGGAAGCACTCCTCATACGTTTGTGGAAGTTTGGGGAGCTCAGCACTGGTGACCGGCGACCTGAGTCGAGTAATTAGTCACTCACACGGCAAGAACTTTGCAAACCTGTTTGTTACATTTTCTTACTAGTAGCGATGCGTAGCTTCTAGCTACTAAGTAATGGCCTCCGACCTACTAGCGATGGCCTCCAATCTAGTAGCTTCTAGCCACTAGTACTAATGCCCTTGTTACTAGTACTGATGCCCTTGTTGCCAGGAGCTCTCGGAGATCGGTCGGCTTTCACGCTTTCCTTTCAGCTTTCTGGAGCGCTTGAAGCAGATTTGCGCACCAAAAGCGGCCTGCTCGGGACTGAGGATGTTCATCAAAGAGCCCAGTGTTTGGTGCAAGTGAAATGCTTTGTTTTCGTCCGGCTCTGTATGTTCAACGATGTTCAGCTCAGCTCGGTGAGGTGTTGACAAGGCTATGTAGACTCAGCTAACTTTGCTATGTATCATTATTGAATTTAGGTTGGAGGCCATCGCTAGTAGAATGGAGGTAATTGTTTAATTGTTTGCACCCAACCTTCCGTCACCTTCCGCACACTTCACCAGCAGGTAGTGGTACAAAACTGGTGGAAGCAGGGCAGCAGATCTCAACTGTGTACCTGATTTTCCGAGGCGATTGCGTCCAAATGACGTATGGTTCAGAAAACCTTGCAGTGAAACATAGGACCTGCAGATTGCTCAGCTTATCATCTTAAGATATCTTAAGCACATAGATCTTTGCCCCATGGCCAAGGATATCCATTGATGACCAATGGCCTGAGCTCGGCAGGTAAGCTGTCTGTTGTGCGGGAGGATGATCTTTCTCCTCCGATGGACATCAAGGCAGGACAGGACGAGGTGGCTTTGTCAAGCAGTTACAAGAGTTGCACGACAGTCTCCCCAACCCACGGGCACTTGTCACATGTCCAGCTGGGTTGCTCGTTTGATTTCACCATGATGATGTATAATGATCTATTTTTCACACTGTTTTTACAAACCAACGATTAATACGGTATGTACCTTATTTTTATCCTTCTTTTTCTCATTTTTTTATTCTTATTGTTATTCTTTTTCGTTTTCTTCTTCTTCTTCTTCTTCCTTTTCTTTTGCGTCATCACCCCGTTTATACATGTTATAATATATATGCCTATTACATACATATAATCCCTACTCAGGCAGTTATAATTGTTCAAAGTTTGGGAGAATCTCTAAAGGCATACGGTATAACCTTCAATGGCTTCGCCTTCAAGAGATTTATCAGCCGCTTCAATTTCAGGGCTTGATTCAAGACTCCTGAGATTACCATTAAAGGCGGGGGTCGATGAACTTTCCATGGTGACTCTGGCCCCATAGCACATTTTCTCCACACCCTGGAAAAAGGCTCGCCTTCTTTTGGGGAAAGGAAGTCCCCATGCCAAATTGGGATGATTGATGGCTTGCAGGAATTTGTGTAGGGTATTGACATTTGATGTGTTTTGAAATCCGGACTCAAGGGTTCATCTACAAATCGTTTGCAAAATACTCAAGGTACTTGGATTAAATCTCAAGTTGGTTACCACTTGCAGGTGTTTGTACTAATGACTAATGAGGAGAGGACCCTCAAATAGATTCAAAAAACAAACAATCAATGTGGTCCTTCTGGGGATGCTATGATGTCCGGGTCCTTTCCAATATAATTCCTTTTATAACCTCTTGCAAACCCCCATCACGGAAATCAATTGTGACGACCTGGTAAGGAAAGCCACCTTCTTGTCGTGGACAAACCATTGTTTGAAGTGTTTGTGGCATCCGATCACATACATTGAGTGCAGGGTATAGAAGCATCTCACGGTAGGCAACATAAGTGTTTGTGTATAGTAAATAAAATACAATGTGTGTATTGAAGTGATTATATGTGATTGTGTATAATCTATATCCTACTATTCCTCATTGAGGGTGAGGGTACAACTATTGATAGACTGGTACATAGATTTTTATATATACTGATAGATAGACTTCTTTCTGCTCACATCTCCATCACATGTACCTGGGGGTGTGTGAATGACAAACCACGTGCCAGGCCCCGACCACAGTGGGAACCTTTGCAATGACCTCCCAGGAAGCGAGAGCAGAGGCCAGGACAAGGGTGGAAGAGCCTTGGGTGCTTTGATTGTTGTCATTTCACTATACACTCCACGCTCTTGCCCAGTGAAAGCATGATGACTTTTGGTTTTGCATACCAAGAGCCAAAGCTGTTTCTAGAGAGCAATTTGTTGGCCTTCATCGGAATCCATGGCGAAATTGGCAGCTCTCGACTTGTCTTCCAGACCACCATCTTGGTGAACAGCTTTTGTGGCTACTTCGCAGTCGATGTCACAAAGGCCATTGCACTGTCCGCCCGTGGTGTTGCAACATGATACCTCATATTTTATACTCCAATTTGTAGATATTTCAGTGTGCAGCTCAAACCTTGCCACCCTTTTTGCTTAGCTACGCCTCAGTGCACCATTACACGAATTCTGCGTTGGATGTGCCAATTTGCGGCAGTTGAGAGCCCTCTTGGATGAGTATCCAAACTTGGCTGCTGGTTGGGAAGACTTGGTGGAGGAGGCCTGAGACACATGTGATCTGCCCAGAGAGGTGGCTTGCTCAACCGGGAGAGCAGTTATGCGAATGACACCAATGACACCAAAACAAGTAAACATTTGATGAGCGAGGCAGCAAATATGAGTACATTGATGGTACTTATGGTCCACCTGATCCTTTGTCACACAATCTTTGGCTATGATGCGCTGCATAGCAAGCCTGCATTTGTAATTAGGTTGAAGCACACGAACGCTTAGGTTCACAGACTGGTTGCACTCAGGTAGATTAGATCTGTGTTTGTACTATATCTCATAATTCAATGCCTGCAGCAAAATCCCACAGGAACTGCCACCTCAGGACGCCTAAGAAAGCAATATCCACAATCTTCAAGCAACAGGGCATGAGGAAGATTATGTTTGGGACTTGACAGCACCACTTCTATTGTGCAACTTGGTGAAAGATGCAAAGTTGCCAGGAGCAGCTAGACAGCCAGTCGATGGCGTGTGGATGCTTAAATTCCACAATAGTTTATATATGTGCTGACGCCTCAAAGAGCTGCTGAGTCTTTGAGAGCTTGACATAAATATGAATGAGACATTCATGAATGAATGTATAACTTATAACATGGCCTGTCTATGAATATGTATTTACGTGAATATGTTTCTAATTTAGTAATTGCAGATGTTTTCAATTGATTGGTTTTCAGACAGACTGTAGGGTTGGACGTCGTAAAGCGACACCCAATGATTGGTTGCACCGATCTGGATCCTGTGCCCTTGAATCTGGAGGGGAGATGTTTCATTTAATTTGGCTGCAGGTTCAAGTGTTGCTCCCAGAACACCAATCCTAATTTTGTGCCTGGCCGCCCTCAAGAACGCCCAGGGAGAGCTTCTCCGGCCGACGAGCCAGTCGCGTTCTGATTCTCCCAGCAGGGACTCCCAACGTGTGTTGTTTTGCTGCTGAGTCTTAGACCCTGTATATCGCAATCAACATCTATACTATATACAGCATAGTGTAGGTGTTTTTACACATTAAATAGTTATTAGTGTTCTGCCAGTAGGTCTGTTTCATTACTTTGTCCTTTTGTCCTCAGTTTGATTCCTGTTCAAGTGACATTCAACATTATGCCTGTGAGAATCCAGATGTTACTCTATGCCAGCAGACACGGAAGGCTTGTGTTTTTGCTTCTACCCACTTTGCAAGACAGGATGCTCATTGTACCATAGGCATGGGACTCCCAAGGGGCAATCTGGGGCCCACTGAAATCAGCCCCTGATCGAAGCTACAGGGGTAAGGGTTTCTCCACATCCGCAGGAGGATCTCCAGGCTCCAGGCGGGCAAAGTGAGAAGGCAAAGTTTGCTATCAGCAAATGGACCGACAAGACTTGAAGTATCGTGATGTTGTAGGCATGTATTCAACACATTCATGCAGATGTTTGCCAAACCAAATAATCCACAAGGACTTGTGTACCCAGTGTTCCAGCTGTTTGGAACCCTGCTCAGACGATGATGAAGAGAGAGTGATCATGGACACCTTGGAGAAACGGTTCGAGGCACAGTCCGGAGAATTGTGGGAGTTTCATACCAGCCATGGCGGAAGAAAAGGGCATTGTAAGTTCACAGTTCTTCCAAATCCACGTCTAGGTCTTGAGTCTTGGACTATGCCATTGGCACTGGTACACAAGCCGACCAGCCTTCTTTTATTTAGATTTGCTTCTTCCAAAACCAAACTAGTTCGAACCGCAACTTGCTTAAGTGCCCTGGATGACGGTTGTTGGGCACTAGACTGTCACCCCTTGGCCATTGGCAGGGTGCTGATGACGAGTTTCTGGACTGTTTGAGGGACATTTTGGAGAAGAGAGTTTTCAGCGAAGACGAGGTGCAGCAATTGTTTGCATTTGCCAGATCTTTACTACAGACCGGAGTAAGTCAGAAGATGTCAGAAGAATAATCAGATAGTTTCACAGACTCCAACGTGGAACTCGGAGAATCTCAGCCCCCACTGAAGGATCCCAACCAACTACCAACAATATTTTCTACGTCTCCCTCCCTGAAGCCCTACATCATTTCCACTCCAGGTCATCTTGGCACAAGGAGATGATGGGACCTTTGCAATCCTAATTGCCTCTGGCTGTTGCACGGTGGAGGCAGGCCTTATTTGGGTAAGCACACAAAATACACAGAGCTGGTGTATCGATGCAAAATGATGAAACCCATATATAAGTTGGTACTTGCTTTGTGTGATCTCAGAGGCAAGCTGGGCAGGTCCTGTGCTTCCACTATATAGACCGTGCTGAAAGTATGCTGCCACGACTATTTCTGCCTGCGAAACCAATGAATCGGTTTGATTTGATTTGAATTGTGGTTGCTTCAAAAAAATATGTTATTTTGCTTCATAATGCCGTATTTGAGGAGTAGCATGGCAGAACTTTGATGGCAGGTGAATGGGACCAAAGTGGGTGAGGTGCAGGTGGAGGGGCCTCGAGTGGTGTGACCGTTGGGCATGTCACCAGTGTTTGTGTAGAGTGTAGAGTCGGTTGGACCACAACGAACTATGCAAGTTTCTGCAAGTTTGGTATTTCAAGTTTTGCAATCATCAAGAGAACAATGTTGTTTGTACACTGCATCAACTTGGAGTGTGTATGCTTATTTCATGCCTGAGTGTTTTCACACCAACCAGGGTCACTGGACTTGCTCTAGCTGTAGATATGTCGTGTTCCAAGTTCTGTTTTCTTCGCTGAGAATCGAAAGGCAATTTAGCGGATTCATCGAGCAGATACCCGATGTCTATTTGTCAAGGTCGACTCACACCGCAAGGGAAGAGGAAAATATCCACTTGTTTTGGAGTATGTTGTTTCACGCGAGCCATTGTTACGTCCAGGCTCCGGGGCCAATCCCTTCGCAGATTAGGTTTGATTGGCAAGGACAAGGATAGATATTTGGGAGTCTGGGAGGTTGCGTGGACCCAGATACCTACTGGACAAGGTGAAAGTATTGCCCACAGCTTTTACAATTCATATTATGTTCTTTTCGTTTGTATGTAGATATGGGCAGCATTGGCAGGAACCTTTGCAACGCTGGTGCGTATCGGTGACGAATATACAGTCTTTGTTCATTATGGAGGTAAGCTTTCCACGAGCCGTTTCAAAAGAATGTTCCAAGATTGTGTGGATCATATAGATGGTAGGGCACCTAAGTCGAACCATACCCGGTCCTTAATTGATTTATACAGGCTTGCGGCAACACCGCAAAACCTTGCACCACCTTCTTGGATCTGAGATGGATCAATCAGGCTGCCATCCGCAAAGCCGCAAAGCAATGAGGGACTACTTTGCCACATTGGTTCCCGCAGATGCTTCGCTGGATCTCATTGACTGGAATATCGCCATAGGTGCGTGTAAAAGGAGATCCCAGTGGCAAGGAGCCTTGATTCTGTTGGGCCGAGTTGCGGAGCAAAACTTGAAGCCTGATGTGTTCAGCTTTAGCACTGTCCTGAGTGCCTGCGAAAAGGAATCCCAGTGGCAACAGGCATTGCAGATCCTAGATGACATGATGGGGTGGAATGTGCAACCAAACATTGTTACTTACAATTCCGCCATCAGCGCACTGGGAAAGGTTGTACAGTGGCAGTGGTCATTGGATGTTTTGCACAGCATCCTGGATGCTGGTGTGCAGGTCGATGCCATCACTTATGGTTCACTTGTCAGTGCTTGCGAGAAACTTGGCCTGTGGCAGTTGGCCCTGTCATTCTTGGAGGAGCTGGAGGGGCAACATCTTGAGAATGACCTCATCGGCCGCAACGCTGCAATTAGTGCCTGCGGAAAGGGATTTCAATGGCAACCTGCTTTTGTTTTGTTGCACCAGCTGGATGTGGTTACCATGAAACCTGACGTTATCACTTACAGTGCCACCATCAGTGCTTGTGAAAAAGCTGGTCAGTGGCATCGTGCTGTGCAGTTGCTGAGGGAAATGGACCACAAGCGCTTGCAGGTAAATGTAATCACCTACAGCGCTGTCATAATTGCATGTGACACCGCGGCTGAATGGCAACAGGCTTTGCAACTTCTGAGTGAAGTTTCTGGAAGGTCTTTGCAAGTAGACCGTATCATCTACAATTCTGCCCTCCTACTTGAACTTCAAGTAACGCATTTTAATTGAAAGGTTGTTGCAGACAATCTCGAGGCTGTCCTTGGGTGTCCTGTAACTTTTTTGCAAAGTACATTCGTGCGGGGTTCTGAGGCGAATGCATTTCCAAGCCTTGAGAACGTTCTTTCCAGGGGAGTGCCCGACAAATCACAGGGTAGTAAATTCAGCTTAATTTAAGCAAGAGGCAATCCTTTTGTGAATCCTAATGAGGCTATCAGTGCTTGCAGCCGAGCAACCGAAAGTCAACCCGCTCTTTCTTTGCTCTCAGAGGTTATAGAGAAGCAGCTCCAGCCAGATTTGAACCTCTCGCTGCATTCTTTTCACCAAGTCAGTTTGTGTAGATTGTTTCAGTTTCTACAGAGGATGAATGAGACGTGTCAATAGACAATATATTTCTGGGTTTATGGCATATGGATGGTGTTTGCGGTCAGGATCACGTACAATTCTGCATTGAGTGCCTGTGAGAAAGCAGCAGATTGGCAGGGTGCACTGCGTCTTTTTTGTCATCTGGAAGACGAGCGGGTTAAGCCTGATGTGATCACATACAGTGTGCCTGAGTTGCAATCTGTGAGCTCATGCTTGAAGAACCTTGTAACAATTTCTTATCTCGACCACATGTACAGGTATGTACTCCAGCTCCAGTGTGCATGAACGAATCAGTAGAGAAAAACATTGAGATGTCCTAGACCTGCCTGATATGTGTGACTTGTGTGGTTTCGACCAATTGATGGAATCGTTCCTGATGAGCTGTGATCGTTTCCCAATCCCGAAACAGAGCTCAGTACATGTTGCGTGGGTGTTAAATTCCCGAGTGTGCATTCGTGGAAGGCCCTGATCAGTGCTTGTGAAAAAGCAGCTCAGTGGCAAAGCGCTCTTCAGACTCTAAGAGATTTGACAAAATCACACTTGGAGGCTGGACTCGTCATGTTGAATCGAGTCGCGCATCCCGCGATCTTTTCTGCGAAGCATAATCTCTCCTTGTGGAAAATGTTGAATCGATTGGGGAACTTCCCTGAGGCAGATGTGATAGTTTACAACTCAAGCATCAGTGCTTGTGGGAAGGCGAAAGAATGGCAACGCGGCTGACAGGGTGGAACCAGTTCGTTTCAGTTTGCGGCGCACACGGTTTCAGTGATGGTTTGAGGACCCGGCGGCTTGGTCCTGTTCCTTGTTTCCACTATAAAGAGTGTAGTATCACTGGCACTATATAGGGTCTTTCACACTGGAGGTTCTTACGGCACCGGTTGTTTGATCGAGGTGCTCGCATTTGTGTCCGGCTAATTCGCTGCTATTTACGCAACATTCATTCCTCTCGAGATGTTTGAACATTATTGAATTGCGTTCCGACTGCACAGGCTTGCAGAAACTTGTGGGCGCGAGCGAGTGCATTCCTCATTTGTGCTCTCGTTGTGGTGCCGCGCACATTTTTTTGGACTTGGTGGATACACTTCGGCGCGCTCTGATCTCGTGGCAGGATGCATTGTGACCTGTGGACAGGTTTTGTGGCGCAGCACTTTGTCAACCTCGACATGCAGATTCAGTGGCAGGCGCAGCGTTTTGTAAATCACGAAAGCTAGCCTTAGCTAGCTGGAGTTGCTCTTGCTTTAGCAAGTTAAGTGACGGGGTGGACGCACCTCAGAAAAACCTCAAATAATTGATTAAATCAATCTTATGGATCCCCCCCCCCGGGGTTCGACTCCCCCCTGCGCGCGGTGAGCGGGACCACCAAGCAGCTGCAGCACACCAAGCATCTGCAATCTACCACCAAGCAGCTGCAGCAAACCACAAAGGAGCAGCAGCAGCAGAAGCAGCAGACCCAGAGCAGCAGCAGCAGCAGCAGCAGACCACCCAGCAGCAGCAGCAGCAGCAGCATACCAACCAGCGCCGCAGCAGCAGCAGCAGAGCACCCACCGCCGCAGCAGCAGCAGCAGACCACCCAGCGCCAGCAGCAGCAGCAGCAGCAGACGACCCGGCCCGGCTAGCTTTCGTTCACCCCCTCTGGCCTCAAGTGTAGAGATTTTGTGGCAAGGTCAGCGCTTTGTGAATGTCGAAGTGCAGATTTCGTGGAAGGTGCAGCACTTTGTCGCTTAGTGAAACTGAAACTCGAAGTGCAGATTTAAGTTCGTAGCAGTCGCAGCATTTTGTGAACCTGGAAGTGCAAATTTCGTGGCAGTCGCAGCGCTTTGGCCTGTGTATGTAGTTAGTTGTATGCAAATATAGGCACATACCACTGCTCTAAAGGCCTCCGGCAGCCTAGCCTTTGATTTTCTTGAGGTTCCTTCCTTTCTTCCGTCAGACCATTCTTCCTGTTCTTTTTGTTTTGCCTTTCGTTCCTTTCTCCTTTCCTCCTACTTTCCATTTGACCGCATGGGTCACGCATGGCGCTTTACGGCCTAATCACGAGAGCTTGCACCAGCTAGCTGGAGTTGTTCTTGCTTTAGCAAGTGAGGGGCTGGAATCCTCGAGAGCGCCGCATCGCGTGAAAACTTCACGCGTATAGGGAGCCCCTCCCGCGGGTTCAACTCTTTGGGACGTCTCTGGGACGTGTGTACTTCTGCTGGCATAGTGGGCCGAGTGTCACCCGCTTCACCCCTGCCCTGCTAGCTTTCGTCACCAACCCTCGGCCTCAAGTTGTCTAATTAGCATACAGCTTAAGCCACTTAGTTTCCATGTTTGCTTTTGCGTTGGCGTTTGGAGATACATACTGCAGTCTTGGATAACTTGCATAGCTTACATGCAATGGCTCTTGGCAGTTCTGAAATACAGTGCAAATCGCATATTCACCTGAGCAGCGTTCAAAACCTGAATGCAAGAACCACATGATCCGATTAAACTGCAAGACTGTCGCGTAAGCTAAAGTCTGCACGGCGTAAGGTTTGCGTAAGGTTCGGTGGAAGCCAAGCTTGGGACACTCGATGCGTAAGAGGTGCGTAAGCAACTTTGAGTCTTCTAGTTACACAGCCAATATACTTTTTTTTGCTGAGAAACACTGCAAGCAGAAAAGGGTTGTGGAGTGGCCCACGACCACACGAATTCCGCGTAAGCCGATTCGTAAGGTTTGCGTAGGCGAACTTCTCAGATGAAGCCCTTTGCTCACGTCCACCAAAGGTTTTTTCTAAAGAAACCAAAGCAAGCAGCTGAGCACTTTTCAAGCACAAAGCGCACTGTGACCCTCGCTCCAACTGCTTGGTCCCCATGGCTGACAAAAGAAGCAGCGGGCTCCACCAAGTGAATCATACAAGCAAAGTGTAAATTACTTTACTTCGAGTGATCCCTGGAGTGCCCACTGCGATCTGGAGCTTGCGGTTGAGGTCCGGGAGTGCC